AGCTGTAGCCGTAGCGCTGCATCTTGGCGTTGCAGCTGTAGCTCTGCAGGTTGTCGTAGCAGATGTCATGCAGCTGGCAGCATCTGTGTGGGAGCTCCAGATTTTGGGGATTGTTTTTTTTTTTTCTTTCCTAACCCCCAGATTTGAAGCCACGCAAGGATGTGTTGGGGCAGGGGGGGGGTTTAAGGGGTTTTTACCTGTCCGTGGCGTCCTTGGGCTGCCCCCTGCCCCCTAAGCAGCCGTAGAAGGAGTAATGCAGCAAAGCGTTTTTCCCCGTCGCCTTCGTGATCATCTTGTGCAGGTCCCAGAGGCTCCCGCGAGCTGGGGACAACCCTGAGGGGGGGAAATCGGTGGGGCTCAGGCTGCCACCCCCCCCCAGCAGCATCCCTGTCCCTCCGGCTGGTGCCAGGCTGGTGATGGCTTAAAAAGGAGTCGCAACGGAGAGGAAACTTCTTCCCAGCTTGGTGCAAGAGAATTGCGTGTTTGGGAGAGCTGGTGATGGGGAAAAGTCAGGAAATCACCAGCTTGATCCTAATTTCTGTAATTTCCATAATTTCCTAATTTTCCATATAACAGCCTGGGACCGGTGGAAGCGAGGACACTTACCCCAAGCCAACAGCGCAGCCAAGGCAAGGAGAGAGTTCATCTTTTTGACAGCCCTGGGAGAGGAAACCAAATCTCTGTAATTTCCCCATTATATCAACCACATTCTTTTTTATTTCCCCCCTCGTCTGGGGCCAGAGATGCTGCCCACCTCCGGGGATAAGGGGGGCGAGGACGTGCCCATCGCTATTGCTTCAGCACAAAGTGCTGCTCTGTTGGGGATGGGAAGTGATGGAAAAAGCAAAATTAAGGAAAAGGAAGAAAAGTTGAAGGAACGATCGACCCTCAAGGGCTGCACCCCACCACTGGCGGCTCAGAGCCTCTCCCTTGCTCCTGCTTTCCCAGCACGGACCTCGCTCCCTGCTGGCACCGTGGTTTTTGGTTAAAGCAGGAAAGGGAGGAAAAGCTCCTCTGTCCCCACTTACCTCGGGAAAACCGCTGCTCACTTGCAGGACCCCGCAGCTACCAGGGCTCGCTTTATATAGGGTTTGCCCCCAGCTGGCGGATGTTCGTTTCGCCCACATCTTGCTGACCGGGTTTTTCAGCAAAGGAGAAGGTCCTGTCCTTCCCCTTTACCAGAAATCCCACAACACCCTGGCCCCATACCCTGGTGGGGACCGACACCAGGCGGGATGAGCCGGCAAAGCAGCTCCATTGCCAGCCCTGGGAGGAAGCCAATCCTCTCTGCCCCCAGCAGAAGATTGGGAATCAATAAAAGCATCTGGAAATGTGTAGTTCCCAGAAACATGGGGCGGTTTGGGATCCTGGGTGATTAAACTGCTTACTCGCCGTGAGAGGAGAAGGAACACAGTGGATGTTTTGGGATAGGTGAATGCCACTTCCCTTTGTTGCTTTCTGGATGATTTTTCCACCTCCTTCTTGCCACCCCTCTGCAGAACTCATCCCTTACAGAGAAACTGGTCACCTACGGAACCGCCCTCGAAATTAGCATCTGCCTTGGGACGGATGAGGCTTTGGCAACTGACTTCTGTCCTCTCCAGAGAACTATTCCTCAGCCTTCATTTTGGCCATCATTTTAATGTGAGTAAATGTCAGAGGAGGGTCTCAAATAACCTCCTGTATTTTCTCACTTCCATTATTCACATAAAAACATTATCTCACCTGTCCCTTAATGCACCACTGTGTTTTAGCTCTGGGAGGGAGTTCAGCTAGAAGGGGTGTTGGGAAAAACCAAAAAACCCAGTTGCCATCTGGGCTTGCTGCTGGGGAATGATTTGGTTGACAAACCCCAGAGAGTTTTCCGTTGTCCCCATTTCTCGATGCAAAGTGCTCCTCCATAGCTGAGGATCCAGCAGCAGCGCTATTACCCTGCAGCTGGACAGATCCGGCCGGGAAAGGGGTAAATAACTGGCTGCAAACTATAGCCGTTGTTGGACCTTTGGCTTTTCCAGGCTGCTGTCGGGACCATGAAAATATCAGGGTGTCAGGCAGCTGGTGTGAGATGCAAAAGCCCTCCCCAAACTCGGCAGCCCAGGTGCCTCTCTTGCAGTGCCTCCATCTCAGAAAAACACCATGAAGAATCGTTTCGAATACCTTTTATTTAATTAGCTTTGCTGGGAAATGAAATCAAAAGAGAAAAGAGAGAAGGAAGGGACAAACAAATGGCAGCTGACGTGTCTTTCTGGGAACTGGGGGATCTCCATCCATGCGTGTGCCCTTCCTCGCCCCGAGCATTACCTTGCAGGGAGCTGTGATGGCTCCGGCTCCGCTCAGCCCCCACATCTGGCTTTTTTTTAACATAGCAATGGGGAAAACCAGTCAAAATCTACAACCTTGGGTGCAGATTTCCCCTCCTCAGCACTGGATCTTATTTCCTCGGCATTTCAGCTTGAAGTAGAAGCGGTAGGATTTATTGTAGGAATCCAAAGTGCTCGCGAAGCATGAAGCCATCGCCTTGTCGCACAGGCAGGTTTCTCTCTTGCACCAGCTCTGCTCGGTACCTGGGACAAAACATGATGTTCTACGGTGGCTTTTCCAGCCGGCAACAGCGATGGGGTCCCCTCGGAGCACCCCAATGCCTGGAGCTGCCCAAGGGAAATGGAAGAAGCCTCCCCGAGGCTCATCCTCTCCAGCCCACCCACATCCCCTCCAACGCTCATTTATTTACCGTACGCTGCGTCCTCCCGTCCGGGCATCAGGCTGGTTTCATCCCCGGGGGGATGCCCTCCTGTGTACCCTGCTCCAGGGCTGGGGGGTCACAGGGAGCCGTGGTGGTTCCCCACTGCTGTGGGACCCCCTGCCTCGGCAGTACTCACCGCAGACGATGTCTCCATCAGCGACGTCGAAGTGGTAGGGGGTTATCAGGGGGCTGCACTTGCCCTCTCGCAGCTTCCTGTAGCAGCAGTCGTGGGCATGGCAGCACCTGGGGGGGACATCGACTCAAACCACAGCCCCCCAGCCCTCCCTCACCACACTCAGGAGGGAAGGGAAGGTCCAACCTCAAATTTAAGGTGACCAGGAGGAGGAGATGCCAAGGCAGCAGCAAGATGCGGTGGGGAACAGTGCAAAACCCCCTCTCGCAGCACACGAGCACTGTCAGGATCCCAGTAAGGAGTTTTTTTGGGGACCCCCGCGCACCCCGTGCCGGGGCGGCAAGTGGCGATGCTCTTTGGGGTACTCACCAGTCAGTGGGGTCCACGGGGGTCCCTCTGCCCCCGATGCCGCAGAAACACCCGTACCAGCTGTAGGAGAGCAGGGCGCTTTTCCCTGTCGTCGCCTGGATCATCCGCTCCAGCTCCAAAACGCTGCCGCCAGCCGGCTGCAGCCCTGAAGAGGGGCAGAGGGACGGGCTCATGGAGCCAGGATTCGGCAGCGTTCCCCGCACCAGGCAGAGGAATTAAATAAGTCTGGCGTTGCTGGAAATACATGCTTTCAGGCATAGGAACCTTGAGAAGCCCCAAAAAACCTCCTCAGGATTACATCTGGTTTTTGCAGCCACCTGGGTTGGTCTAGGAGGAGATATTATTGCTCCTGCATCCTGCAAGCGGCAATGCCATGTTGCCAGCACCAGCCCTGGGCTGGGCACAGGTGGGAAAGCAGGTGACAGTGTTCTCCAGCGCCTCTTAAAATAAAAATCGATCTGAGCATCCCAAAGCCTCCCCGTCACGAAGACTACAGCAGTGCTACATGAAGCGTTAGAGAGAAACTGCAAAATTTAAACAAAAATCTGAAAAGTGCACAAAGACTCTGGGTTTGTCCGTCCTCTTAGCCATGTAGAGGAGATCCCAGCCTGGCCCGGTAACACTGGGACACTTACCGCAAGCCAAGAACACGGCAAAGAGGAGATTCTTCATTCTCGGGCTGGCCCTGGAGGAGGAAACCAAAATGGCAGGTGACAAGCAGCACCTTGGGGACGGGACAGATGCTGCCCCATGCCCGTGCCGAGGACGTGGAGCCGGCCGGGTGCACCCTGGCAGCACCGCACGGTGCCATTAGCGTCACCATGGACACACGGCATCGTGACGGTACCACCGTGCGTGCGGCTCATCCCAACAGGGCCTTTTGACTCCGGTTTTGGGCTGCGGCGCTTGGCAGGGACATGTCCGGGGAGAGAAGGATTGTCCCACCCGGGGCTGACAGAGCAGCTCACCGCGGTTTTGGGCTGCGGCGCTTGGCAGGGACGTGTCCGGGGAGAGAAGGATTGTCCCACCGGGGGCTGACGGAGCAGCTCACCTTCTGCAGCCTCCCACCGCTGCCTCCCAAGCTGGCTGATGAAATACGAGGGCAATAAACTCCCCCAACTCCTTACCCCACCTGGACCTGGCAGCTCCGAGACTGCCGGCTTAGTGGCTTCGCTTTATACAGCCGGGGAGGTCCACCCCCTCCTCTCTCCGCGATTCAGCGCAGAGCAGCTCTCGCCGAGCAGCCCCTCGCTCAAGGAGAAGGTTCCCATCCTTCCCCGTTACAAGAAACATGAATTTCCCTCCGTCGTCTCGCTTCTGCTCGTCGGCTGGGCACCGAGCCGCCTCCATCCCGGGCTGACGCGGCTTCTGGATGAGGGCAGGCGATGTCTCAGCTGCGGTTTTAAAAGCCGTGGGGTTCTGTGGCTGGAGAGACGGGACAAAAGTGATTTATGCCCAGGAGATGCGGAGCTGGCACCACAGAGGTTGCTGCATCCTCGTTCCAGCTGCAGAGGCAGCGCTTTGGCCTTGGGGTTGTCTCCAGCGGGTGCTTGGTTTTGCCAACTCGTGCCCTGCAACCTCAGAGATGGTTTCTCTTGGGTCTTTCTGTTGCGATTGCTCCCCAAAATCCATGTCTGCATCCAAATCCGGCCACGCGGAGTGGTCGGGGAGGCGGAGGGAGGAAGGTGAACGCCGCAGTCTCATTTCATGGGTTTGTAGTTTTTCTGTCCTGCCCTCAGGGCACAGGAGACTCCGGTAGTGTGTGGGGAAGGGGTTTGCAAAATTAAATCATCAGCAGCAAAGGCTGGAAACGCCATGGAAACCCGGCTTGGAATGGGTTTAGAATTCTGTTTATTTGATCACCATAACTGAGACATGATACAAAGACACAAGGGAGGCAGCAAACCAGAGGAGATAAGAAACAAAAGCTGCTTATCTTCCCTGAAACTGCATCGGGCGGAAAACAAACACACAACAAATGCACGGTATCAGGTCCCACCCTCAGTAATTAACCACACTTCTAGGGAAGCAAATTCCGAGCAGAGGGATGGTAAGAAAATAGCTCAGGGATCCGTATTCAAGAACAAAACCCCTTGTTGAAGTTCCTGAGAGCCACCAAAGCTGTTCTCTGGAAGGGGTGTCACCTCCTGGAGGGCAGAGATACCTGGCTGGGGGCTTTTCTTCCCTCTAACCTTTTATTTCCCTGCTGCCAAGCGGAATAAAAAGCCACCCAAGCCCGATAAGGAAAGGATGGGGAGCAACAGCTTGCCTGCCTCCCCACTCCGGCACACCGAGTGGCGTACCCACTCGCCATCTGCGCAAGAAACAATCTCAAAATGCCATGATGCGAACCCCTGGGCATCACGCTGCTGCCCAAACGCCCTGCTTTCCCCGCCTGACC